ATCAATTGAATGTGTTAGGGAGGACAAGTAGGTGTGGAGGGAAATAGACAAGAGATAAGGAAAAGCATGGCAATGCCCTTTTATATGTACATGATATTTATTTCTATTTACTAAGGAATAAATTCAACATCACATCTATATAAATAAATTCTTAGATTGAGATATATAGATCTTAAAGTATAACTACTCTCAGATAGAGATATAACGAGTTGTCGAGTTGTTTTGTTCTCTCCTTTGTTCAAGTACGGAGTACATCATATACAATAGAAAAGTCAAAAGAATAGCTTGTATTATTATGCAAAATCCACATTATATTCATATTATGCGGATACTTTACATTTTATAAATTCTAATATTCATTCCAAGTCATTGTTATTTATCTTATAATAACTACAAGCTTAGCTTGGAAGGGTAGTAGCATAGCAAGCTCAAACATTAAAGAGTTGAGTGTTAAGTAATACTCCACATAATCTAATTACGTAGTATATGATTTTTCTATAAGAAAATTATTTTACTTCGTATTACAACAATGCAAGAAGAAAATAAAGTTATTAAAATACAAGGATTCATGAATATATTAAATATCACACATAAGTTTACAATTATTTTCCAACAACCTGGGTTCAAAAGCTAGTGCATCTTAATAGAAAGACATATTTATAACAATATAGCGTTCACCATCAAAAAACAATACAGCATTGACATTTGATATGGGATAAATAATCTTATTATTGTATTCATTTCATCATGTCATCACGTTGGACAATGTAAAAATAGTAATTTTGAAAATTGCGAAAATCTCATACGTGGCAAGGGCTTGATACTTGATATCATCCTAGATTCATATATAGGTCAAACTAGCCACAAGATTTGAGATGCTAATACCAACTAATTACTATTAATTAAGTATGTAGGGTTACTAGGGTACATCATAATACTCAAAACAAAGTCATAGATCACTTACTAGATACTCCATTTGATTTTTCTATTTATAATATATTACTACGTACTATATTTTTTTTGAACAAATATTACTACGTTTATAAATTACTCAAATAACACCATTTTTTAGTTTTTTTTTGTATTTGTTCGAAAAATGCACACCAAATTTTAGGGACTCTTCATGGTGGTCCATACTCAATTACTCAAATCGAGCTGGTACTAGTGTACTACTTGACCTTTACTAATTCTATTCAAGAAAGGTCAACTATACTTTACATGTGATTAAGTATGTAATTATATGATATAATATGTCAACCATATGATATTATTTTCTTCTAGTTATGTACATTCTTGATTTTTGTTGTACTTTTATGCTTAACATGACATCCTCAATGATGTTAATCGTTCTAAAAGTAGAATCATTGATTTCTAATTTTCTATTATTAGTAATATGCAATCTGTTAACATCTTATTGGTTATTAAAATTGATCTGAGGATTACAATGCTCATTGACTTTATTATTATATGTAATAATACTGGTATTACTAATTTACTATATCATACTCCGTACTAGATAAATGTAATTTATATTAAGATTGATGTACAACTAGTCATACCTTGAATATGTATAATCAACCAAATAATGGTGAAGTTTTCCTTTCAAATCTCTCTATTGTTAGAGAGATTATATTAATTTCTTACAATTTAATCTTTTCATATCTCTCCCCTCGAATTCCCTTCCTTCCTCATTTGCTACCCAAATGAAAGATACTCCATCCCTCTATTTCCTTTCCTTTTATTTTCTTCAATCCAAACAAAGCATTATCTAATCATAGTATCTTAGTTGGTAAAGTAAGTACAGTAGTTAATTAAGTTTATCGCACTCAATATGTTAGCCAGTTAATCTGTGCTAAGTTTACTCAGAGCACGTACAATGGTGGGCTAAAGAATTGCTCATGGGCATTTTGGTGGGCAAGTATGTCATTAATTGTCTTACAATGGTGGGCTAAAGAAAACTTGCCCATGGGCATGTATTAATTTGCCCAAGACTTGGGCAAAATTTGGGATGAATAGTAAGCTGGTGGGCCCCACTTATTAGCTGATACAATTAAAAAAATTTCGGTGGGCTGCATTCAAAACGTTGTGTTTAGGGAAGCAGCAAAGCAGAAGGCGCATCAAAATGATGCGTTTTGGGAAGCGAATTCTGGAAAAAAAAATAAGTTAGTGGACTAACGCGCGTCAGTCCACGGACGAATTGTCTTTCGCCACGTGGCATGTGCAGGCTGCTGGCCAATAAGAAAAATATAGATGTTGGCAACGGTTATAATTTTTGTAATGCAAATTCTGAAAAAAAAATATTTATTAAAAAAAAATACCAACGGTCATAAAATTTAATTCTCTATAAATAGACATGCATTTTGGTATATTTTGGTATAATTTCAGAAATACCATAAATCCTCCATATTCTTTATTTTTATAAATATTCTGAAATTTTAGAAGAAGATTTTTGTTGTATTTCACTGATTTTTAGGTAAATATGATTTTTTTTTTCTTTTTTTTTTTTTTTTGCAAAATTCAGTTATTTATTAAAATTAGTATATATGTGATTTTTTTGCAAATTAAAAAATGTAGTTCATGTAATGTACTTGCAATTATAAATATAATTGTATTTAGAAAGTTGTTGATATTTTGTTCATACATTAATAAATTTGAAGTTAATTTAATTTGAATTTATTTGCCAATTTTTTGGAAATTGGGTTGTTGTTTTATATATGTGAAGTAAATTGTTATGCTAAATTATATTTTATATGTTATTTTTGTATAGGTAGTTAATTTCGTTACATTATATTATGTATTATATGTTTTGTTTATATATTGTTGAACATGAATGTTGTATATTTAATAAATTAAGTGGTATTAGATTATATTTTTTTGATTTGTTGTCATTTTAATTTGTTGTTTAAATTAATCTTTTTAAAAATATTTATTTTTTGTTTTGTGACGTAGAATCTTTTAATGGATCCGAACAACCCAAATTTCCGTCAACAATTTTCTGGTTTTAGTGATGATTTCCTAACTAATCCCGAGTTTCAATTGTTCTTGCAAAGAATGGGAAATACGTCTTTGCAACCACCTCCACAACATCAGATACCCACTGAATTTCCCCTAGAACACTATGATAATGAAGAGCGTACACCTGAAACTGATCATGGTAGCAACACCCAATTCGATGACAGCCAAAAGAAGAGCGTACCAGAGACGCCGCAGTATCCTCCACCAGTTCCCAGACTGGAATCCAACCAGGTTGCTGCACGGTACGAGCGACTCGTGTTTGGTCTATTGCGGAAGATGAAGCTCTGATTGGGTTGGGTTGTACTTGCAGATTAGCGAAGATGCTATTAAAGGTACGAACCAAAAAGCAACTGACCTATGACGCAATGTACACGCAGCATATCAAATGGCTCATGTGGAGAAGCCGCATATACTTCCGCCAAGACCTATAAAGAGTCTGTCGTCGCACTGGAGAAGGTTGGGAGCAGACACACTACAGTGGATATTTTGCTATGATGAAGCGGGTAGACTTCTGGAGGGAGGGAGTGGTTACAACGAAGCTGACCGTATACAAAGTGCATCGAAGCTTTTTCATCTGGCCAAAGGTCACAATTTCAATTTTCCTCACGCAGTTGAAATGCTTAATAAAGATCCAAAGTGGAGGCCAAAGCTGAGATGGTCCTTGTCAAAGAAGGAAAGAAAAGCTGCTTGTGATGTTGAGGAGCAAGGTAGTACTGGAAGTGGGAAGAGGTCGAGAGATGATGTAGGGGATGAAAACCCTACGGATGGTTTTTCATCTGGAGGAATACGACGACCTGATGGTGTAAAGAAAGCAAAGGCCAACCGTAAAGGGAAAGCAGTAGCTACAGAAAGTGGTTCGTCTGACCTTAGCGAACGAATGAAGGAATTCGCTACAATTCGCGAAAGGGAGGCCATTCTGAAGGAAGAGAGGATCAGAATTGAAAAGGATAAGGAACAGAGGAAACGGGAGGAACTTGACATTCATAAGATCAGAACCATGTTTGATATGTTGCAAACTCTAAAGAATTCGCCTACGCCACTCACTCCTCAAGAAGAGGCGTACAAGAATTTTTTACTTGGTAAATTACAAGGCTTTTAAGCATGTTATTGTAGTAGGTCTACGCTTGTATAACTCAAGTTTTTAATTATGCTATTGTAGTTGTTCTATGTTTGTATTAGTTAAGTTTTTAATTATGCGCAATGTGGTCTTTTATTTTTAACTTGTATTAGTGGTGTGTTTAATTTCAATGTCAGATGTAAAATTGTATTCTGATTTTCCAATATTGAATGACAAGTTGTTTAACAAGTTGATTTCAATTGTCATTGTTAATGACATAATTGCATTCAGTTTTTGTCATTGTGTAGTCACTTTTTTCTGAATTTACTTAGTCAGAATGCTTTAACTTTTGGTCATTGATACCGACATGATTGCACTCAAGATTTGTCATTGTCAACTAGCATAGTATACCTATTCCGTGGCTGAAAATTTGATTCATTCAGTTGGTGTGGTCGTCATTCAGATTTGTAACCACATATTCATTTGATATATTTGCTATATATAGTAAGCATGGCACATATCCACAACCACACCAATTCAAAAACTTACATTATTAATACAAGATATATTCCAGACCATCATCAAGTTCAAGTTCATATTCTTCAAATACTGAAGAATATGATCAACTCGTTGATGAACTCTTCACATACCAAGCCCCAACTTTCCTCATGCCCCAAACACAATCCCAACCCACTACAAAAACACCCAGAGGAGGTACGAATAGAAGAGATAAGGAAATGGGACATGCCAGGCTGTTTAATGATTATTTTTCCAATAATCCTGTGTACAACACCAACCAATTTAGAAGAAGATTTCGAATGCAACGACCTTTGTTTTTACGTATAATGAACAAGGTCGGTGAAGGTGATGTTTACTTCCAGCAGCGTAGGGATGCGACTGAAAGGTTAGGCTTATCACCTCTGCAAAAATGTTAGCCTACGGCTTGGCTGCAGACGTCGTGGATGAATACGTTCGAATCAGTCAGTCAACCGCTCGAGTTGCCCTTCAACGTTTTTGTGCCGGGATCATTGATCAGTTCAGAACCGAGTACCTGCGAAACCCTACAACTGATGATTTGGCCCGAATACTGCATCAAAATGAACTGCGTGGTTTTCTAGGCATGATAGGCAGGCTTGGAACGCGCAGTACGCCGGTAGAAACAAGAAAGCAACGCTAATATTGGAAGCCGTTGCGGATCAGGATTTATGGATATGGCATTCCTTCTTTGGTATTCCCGGATCTTGTTAATTATCTTAATGTGTTGTACCGTTCACGGGTGTTCGATGAGGTTCTGCATGGTCGAGCTCCTCCGGTAAATTTTACAGTTAACGACCATGAATACAACATGGCTTATTACTTAGCCGACGACATTTATCCGAAGTGGGCAACTTTTATTCAGGGTATCACACACCCTCAACTTCAGAAGGATAAAATGTTCGCTGACCACCAGGCTGCTGCTCGGAAGGACGTTGAAAAAGCTTTCGGTGTTTTGCAAGCTCGATTTGCAATAATACGAAAACTGTCACTGGCGTACGATGAGGACATACTGCGGGACATAATGAAAGCATGTATCTTTATGCACAACATGATTGTTGAAGATGAGCACCACAACTACACTCGAGCCGAAGTTCTAAGAAGCTTCTACGAAGAAGATCAACAAGAATTTACACCAGCATCAACGTCTACAACGCCACCGTTTGAATTCAACGTAGACCGACCTACCAACTTTGACTTTAACTCATTTCTACAATGAAAAGCTTCCCTCCGTGATAGAGAAATTCATCTATCTCTAAAAAGTGATTTAGTCGAACATATTTGGTTACAATACGGGCCAACTAATTAGGGAAAAATTAGCGCGACTTAAATAAGGCCAAGTACTATGGCCTACCTACTTTTTTGTACGCAGTCGGCCAAATGTAAACGGTTTCTAGTACTGTACCGCTTTTTAAAATAAATAAAAACATTTACGAAATTTTTAGCGTTTTGTTACAATCATTTCATCTAACGTACATAATTTAACGACAAATTTTACCGATAAAAAAGACACAAATAAAAAAAATAAGTTACACAAATTTAGATTGGTTTTTATTTTTTTGGAGTAATATTGTTAAAATATAAATAAAATTAATAAATAAAGAAGTGTTGTGTAGGAGAGAGAAAGTAATGGTAGGGTATTGAAAAAGTAAGAGAGAGAGTGGTGGGCAAGCATTATTTTTGCTCACCATTGGTAGAGAAATTGTGAAAAAAAATTGTCCATGGGCAAAGCTGATTTGTTGAGAGAAAAAGTGGGTAGAGAGATATTAGGCAAGCATTTTTTTTGCCCATCATTGAAAGTGGTCTCATGCAATTTCCAACCTAATAGCACATCTTTTTTCTATTTTAAAAAATTTAAACATTTTAGGTAGAACAAAATTTAAATGATTTAGAACTGTTCAAAAACAGCCCGCCTCACTGAACCGGCACATGAGTCCGAGTTTGGGCAGAATTTTCGGAGCCCGACTCGAAGTTGACCCAAAACTCTAAAAGCCCGCTAGTTTTGACCCAAAATAGCGGGCCAAGGCCCGGATAAGCCCGATCCGGCCCATGATCAGGTAAAAAATATTGCAATTTTAACCGTTGATATTCTTATTGAGATTACATGCGTGTCATTAATCTTCTACTTATGTTTTGAATTTTTTTTTTTCTTTCCTTTTTGGAGCCTTTTCACTTTTTGCGCTGCACCTCTTCCGGCGCTGCTTCTCTTCCATTGAAACATACTCTGAATTCTCCATTGAAGCAGCTTCTGAGCTATATCTCCTCCATAAAAGCAGATTTTTAAAGTAAGTTATCCTATTTCCCTTTGATTTTTAAATTATCGAATTTCACAATTTAGGGTTTGTCGTTGATTTGAAATTTCAGTATAATGAATTTAGGGTTTATGTTAGATAGATTATTGAGCTATTTGGTTATAATTACTGATCTTATGATAGTTTATAACGAGTGATTTTGTTGCTAGAATTTTGCTGTGTGCTCTTTCCAGTGATATCATAAAGTGAGAAGAATTTCATGTGATTTTTTCGAGCTTTATTTGTTGATTGAGTCAAAATTGTTGCTAACTTGTTTCAGCATTTTGTTTATAACTAATTGATGTTATGATGGAACTAGAAAAATGGACCTTTATTCGCTGAGTTGGGCGGCTACCGCTTGGGGATGGCCCTGGAAATTTTTTGGGAAGGAGAGTGGAAACTGAACCAATAAATGTTGATTGCTGCTGGATTTTTCGGGCAGTTTCGGGTTTCCTTCGAATTTGAATGAGGATGATTGGGATGAATATCTGTTTCTGTGTTTATTATTGGGAATTTGTTGATATTGATAGGATAAGTTGTTCTGTGAGAGATTCAAATTCCCAATTCGTAGTTTTGAGCCTTATGAAGCAAGTTGGTTTGTTGTGTTATGGATAAACTGGTGAGCATTAGGTAGCTAAGAACTTGTGGATAAGTTTTATACTTATGGCTACTGGGCCATGGTATATGATGGTAGGGTATTGGTATCGGAAGTTGGATGCTGGTATGGTATGTCAAGATTGTCAACCTTCACATTACAGTGCCCATCCTGCCAGCCATTGTTAATCTGTTGGTTTCGAAGCAATCCTGAACCTTTTGTTTATGCTCCCCACTCTCCCTAAGTCTTTGGTGGCTAGCAACACCATGAACCTTAAGCATTCATTACTTTGTCACTTTGTCCTCATTCTTGGGAAATGCTGGTGGCACTAGATTGCTCATTATAAAGCAGAATACTAGTCAAAGTCCAAGTGCCGAAAAGATGCTGGTGTCTATCTGCTATTTGCTTCTGAATGTGGGATTATTTAGCAGTTTGTTAAGCCAACCCAAGTTACCGAACCAAATTTTCTAATTTCACCTGCTTCTCGTCATGAGCTATTTACTGGTCCTTCCAAAACGCTTACGCTTTGACACCTAGTTAATCCTTAATGATGGAATAGTGTTATACTTTGAGGAATTCATGATATTGACGGTCTTGCTCTCTTGTACTTGTTCAATTTGTTGCAAGTCCAGCAAAGCAACAGGCTACAGGATTATTATGCCTAAAGTTAAAACTTTATGTGTTAGGTACATTCTTATCAAGTTACCATAAAATTTGGTTCTTTGAGATCCTTCGACTTTTTGACTTCGAATCTTTATTTTTGAGGTATTGTTAACTTGATATGCTCTGTAGGAGATGACCTTTTATTAGTTTTATATATACGAGTTCCATTTCAGCTTTTCATCTTTATGATAAATGGGCAGGATCTGATGGTTTGAAGAATTTACCCTTGATACAATATGCCATAAAGTTTGTGCCACTTTATCTTCTGATTGCAGAAAAGTTTCTGTTGTAGCTTGATGGCTGCCCTATCAACCTATCATCTTAATGCTTCTGAAGTAACACGAGCCATGAAGGCTACCTTTTCATAAATATACTAAACTTCAAGTTACATCAAAGCTTGAGTCCTTGGTGATGAATCAATTTGGAAATGGAATTCTATCATAGAGTAGTTAATATGTTAAGGCCATATATTATGAGGATCTAAGAACACTGAAGTGATGCTGGTTGTTTTGGTATTATTCCTTGGATAATTCCTCTTTCAGAAACATGTATGAAGACTTTGAGCACTGACCGACATACAATCTATTTGTAACCTTGTTTCAAGTGTACTTTTGCACTTAAACCACTAGGGTTATTATACTTATCTCCAGCCCAAATTCATCTTTTTTGTATCTGATTTTCATCCCTGTTTTAGTTTTGCATGTGTGTGTTGGGGTGTCTTTTTGATGTTGTTATTCTTGAAGCTATTTCAGATTTCTGTGATAGCTAATTGACTGCTCCTTTCTTTTGGGTAATCATCTTTTCTATTAATTTTGAAGTTTCAGTTCCTCACTTAAATTTGTAGTTCTTTTAGCTGTGCATTGCGTCTTTCAATAAGTTAATAACCATTTGCCCCAATTTTCCACAGGATTGCAGGACGCTGTTGACTGTGAAGCTAAAATGGCGGTAAGCACTTTGGTGATGGTGTTATATGCAAAGATCAATCTTATATACATAGGTCTTTTATTATGCAGTTTTTAGTAGCAAGTTCAGAGTGTAATTTGTCAGTGGTTACAAGTGCATAGCTGATTGTTATCTGATTTAATTGATGTATGATGGTATTGTCTTGATTTTTATGTATGCCAGCATGTGAAAATGTTTTCATGATTGTGAATGACATTTGCATGCCACTGTCATTTTGCAGGATCATAACATGACATTTGCATGCCACTGTAATGCTGGTTCATTGTGATTAGCACTCAACATATATGGGATTTACTATTTTTTCTACTTAATAACTTCATTCTTTTGTCATGTTATGATGGTTATGTGATGTCTTGGTCTTAAATCATCTGCTAATGAATTTTAAACCCTTGATTTTGCTTGTCATATCAGAAATCAGGCTGTTATGTAATCCCTCTGTAAAGTACATTTAAATGCGTTTTTTTCCTTGGTCGTAGCCCTTGTAAACCCTTTGTTGTCCTGCTGTCATATAACAAAACCATTATTGTAACCGATGTCTTCGCATGCATGAAAGTTTTATTGCTAGCAAAAATGGGGAAAGAGGTACTTATGTAATGTTGATTTGTATGATACCCTGTGTACTGTAGATGCTGCTCATTTAGGTTGCGTTAGCCCCTGAATTTTGGGGGGGGGGGGGGGGCGCATTTATTCATTTGCAGTGTGTATATTCAGTTGTAAGTTTTGTGGATTTTTACCACATTTTCGCATATTTTTCTCTTCTGATTTACCAGTCTTTGAAGCCTTTTTTTTTATTTGTGCAGACTGTCCCAGTTAACCCAAAACCTTTCTTGAACAATCTGACTGGAAAGCCAGTCATTGTGAAGCTGAAGTGGGGAATGGAGTACAAAGGTAACTTGTTTGTTCATCACCTATATATATGCTCATGAGTCCAACATTATTAATAGGTTTTAAGCCAAAAGAATAGATAAGAGGGGATGATATCTTAATTTCTTTGGTAGTTGCAGTTTCATATTTGTTTTGATGTTTTTTTTATTTGCTTGAGAATTCTGTAAGACAATGTTTGTCCTATGCAATCTTGCAGGCTATCTTGTGTCAGTTGATGGGTACATGAACCTACAGGTACATACTTGCCTGTTCTGCAATGATACATCTTCTTTAGAATTAATTAATGTTCTAATCCGTGTTCTATTATTGACTTTCATAATTGCTGATCTTTTTTTTATTGATAACTTGGTTGCAGCTGGCGAACACAGAAGAGTATATTGAAGGCCAGAAGACCGGAGATCTTGGAGAGATTCTTATCAGGTTATTAAAGCTAGACTTCTGTTCAAATATAATATCTCAGTTTGGTTTTTGTTTCTGGATCTCTTTTAAAAAAATTCTGTGTGCAACATTGCAACTGTTAAGTTGTGGTTTAATCTGTCAACTCTATTTCTTAGAATATTGGTGAAGTGGTGTCACTTTAAAGTTTGAAATTCATGTTCAGACCCTAACTGTAAACACTTGAAGTTTATGTCTGATTTCCTGTCAAAAAAAGAAGTGTATGTCTGATTTAAAAAGAAATCATTTTTTAGCTGATATTCTTAATTCTGATGCAATGAAAATCTCTAAGGAAACAAACTTAAGTTTCCTTTGTTTGGCTTCTTGCTAGGAAAGATAAGAGACAATAAACTAAGAAAATGGAGGGAAGGAGAGGAGGAAGGTGAATGATTGGGAAAATAATGTGGTGTCATGTCATTCTTTTGTTTGAAAAGTTTGATCTTTTACATTCTTTGGAAAACTATTATTGGTATAGGAAAATTATTTTCAAAAGGAGAAAAATGGTAAATCTAGATATCTTGGAAAATTATTTTTGCGTTTATCTTTTTGAAAATGTCATTATTGCATTATTGCCTAAGACTAACACTAGAATTGTGCTGTGTTTTTTCTTTTTATTTGTTTAGATGCAATAACGTACTGTATCTCCGTGGAGTTCCTGAGGACGAGGAGATAGAGGATGCTGACAGAGATTGAAGAAGAATAACCTTTTTGCTCACGATGCAGCTGATACAATGTTATGCAAAAACTCAGTGAAGATTGAGTAATATTAAAGCTCATGTGAGATGGTTATTGTTAGGCGTAACTGTTGAATTTTCTGGTGTGATGCAATTGATGTAAAAGATTAACTTTTTATGAAATTAGAAATTTCTTATTTTGATCATTGCAAAATTATGTTTAATTGCAACAGTTGAAAATAGAATGAGGGTTCTGTCAATTTACTGGACAGTCTAATTGTAGGGATCAACCGAAGGGGGCAGGGGATTTTGGGAATACGATTTTCTTAATATATTTTCAAAAATACTCATCTCATTCCAATTAGTTGGTTTAATAATCGAAGAGAATCCTATACATGAGAAGTTGAGAACATTTGTGATTATTAAGCATATTTGAAATTGAATGGGGTCAGAGGAGCAAGATCAAGACCGAAGAAATAGACTGAGGATATCTGCGGAGCATAACATGGGTTTACCAAGTGTACAATCAACAAACACACAGAAATGTCAGCCATAGCTAGTTATACTACAACAGCAACGACAAAGCCTTAGTCCCTACATTTAGGTCGGCTGCTATGACTAGCCATTCAGTACCAAAAAAACAAGCTCGTATGTTGCAAAAACCAAAAAGGTGAGGGAACATCCTGAGACTAGCTAGAACTTAAGACGTCAAAGAACAAACCAAAGCTTATCGTCGACAATGAGCTTTGCACATATTTATGCAGTCATAGAAGCAAAATCCACCACAGTGAAGTGGACAATCAAGCTTCATTCCTTTGCACCTTCCTCCTCCCATGCATTGTGCAAATTCTCCCAACTTAAAGTTTCCACGACCATATCTTTGCTTTTCATGTCGCTTTCTCCCTCCTCGTCCCCCTCCACTACATCGGCCCCACTTCCATGACCCTGCACCACCACCTCCCCAACCCCATCCTCCTCCCCCACCTCTACCACCACCGCCACCGCCGCCGCCACCACCCCCTCCTCCCCATCCCCATGCAAACCCACCTCCACCTCCCCCACCTCCACCACTGCCTCCCCCTCCGCCACTGCCACCACCACCTCCACCTCCATTCTGCCGTTTCTTGTCCCCTAAGGTAACTTTAGTATAATCGGAAGTAGTATTATCATTTGGTAGGTTAACAATCAAGGCGGTCGCATTATTGGCTTGAGTTGTGGATGCATTAACACTTTGGTTGCTACTACATAGGCCAAACAAGGCCATAGAGAATAGAAAAATGAGGGTTAAGCTTCTTACTATCTCCATGATAACTTCTTAGTGTAATTCACTGCCAAATTATGCAGAAGCTATGCAGTATATATAGTATGTATTATAATACGTAACGCTTACATGTTACGGTTACTCGACATCCTTATCCTACACTCATTCCCACTCCTCAATAGAGAGAGAGAGAGAGAGAGAGAGAGAGAGAGAGAGAGAGAGAGAGAGAGAGAGAGAGAGAGAGAGAGAGAGAGAGAGAGAGCGGTAGATTGCATTGCACTCGTGAATAAACTACATACAAGTGGGCAGACAAAGACACAAAGTACTCATAGAGTCATAGGTCGTTGGTTCGTTACCATAATAAGAACATATAGTATTAGTAACAAGTAGAATGGACCGATTAGTTACAACTACAAGTATAAGCCAGTTTGTGGGAACAAATCAACTATATGAGTGCGTTGTCCTTGGAAAATTCAATTGCTAATAATGAATGACGTCAAGAAGTTGTTGGCTCACTTTGAGGTTGTTTTTTACCTTCATGTTTATCGGATAGCTAATTGAGTAGCAGATTATATTGCAGCTTTAAGCTATCAAATTGCAGATTATCTAAACATTGACCTCTATGTAGATGCCAAAATTTCTTATTTGATTTCATTACATAAGTTAGGGTACAATCTTAAGAGAAGACTTACCTAATTCTGTATCTTTCCTTCAAAAAAAAAACCAACAACTATATGAGCGGTCAGTATTATGGGTTGCTAAAATCGCGATATATTGGAGTGGGATGAATGTTTCAAAATTGATTTTACTCATGTATATATCTTATTTGGGGAATAATGCAAAGAAATTATCGATTTAATGACATTCTAGCTAGTATATATACATATAATACGGTATGTAGTACCAATGCAACATTAGATCGATATTGTCATTATTTAACATCTATTCAACATTTTATCGAGCATTAGGACATTGTAAATTAGTAGTATAATATTGACATATTGTTATGGTGTTATTGTAACTATATAGCACTTTTATAGCAATTCGTAGGGTATGCGCTATTCACTTTGTATGGTGTTCTATGAAAAAAAAGAAAAAACAAAAAAAACACTTCCTTTATCGAATTAGATTTTTGTCGACAAAATCCAAGTACCATTTTGATGATTTATGCCTTTTTTTTAACTGTGATGAATTAGTGCTTTATTTATGCCATCATTTTTTGTCTTTTTAAATGCTAGAATACGATTACATACTTCTATATTATGTACTCCGTAGCACGTTATTTGCAGTTTTGTCAAGCCCCCCCGAAAAATAATCATTCTAAAGGGTAACCACAAGCACAAGTTTTTTCATTGTCTTCTTATCTTGAAAAATGAAAACATATATCTTTATTACATGATATTTGGTCTTTTAAATTGTAAGAGCATGCAATATGAAACAGAGTCTAACTTCCATTGAATAATTTCATTGGATCATCTACTAACGCCAGATATTATCAATTTTTAAACGGTTTATATATTTAAAATTTACATTAATTATACAAGATGATCACGTGTGTTCATATTTCAAACCTATCTCAAAGAGTGAATAAAAACTATTCCCTTTTAAGGATCGTTTGTAAATTTCTTGCTTTTTTACATATTAAATTTAACAAGTGAATAAATTAAGCCAATGATTCAATTTTCATAAATTTGTAGCTTTTCATTTTCACTTTTCTTTCTTTGTTCCATCTATTGTAAACGTTTCCTTATCCATGTTAGCTGACCCTAAATCATTCTTAAAATTAAGACGTTGCACATCATCTCTAGCTTAGTTTAAATAACATCACTCTTATATCAAATCATGTTATGAATAATTATATACGAAGTACTCCGTAATAAGTTGAAAACTTTACAATATATTCTTGTTAAATGCCGCAAGACTTTAAAACCGTATGATTGTATGAACAAAATGTTGCATGCCTGACCTTACCAACATAATTATATTCACAAAAGCTTGGTACAAGATGATTACATAAAGTTATTGGTGAGATATCAAACAAATCCCAAAAGGTGGACCAAACTAACATTATTCATCTTCAACTCGAAGCTTGTACTTGCTCTTAAATTATGTATGTAATGGGTTTGAGCATGACGTGTTAGGTTATTAACTGAAATAACTTTGCTTCTATTATGAGAAATTCCAGCCCATGCACGCATGTTTACAAAGAACATGGTCCATGCATGCAAATTCATGATTTCATAATAAAAACTTATATAATAAGTACATTTTATATAATAATAATGCATGTTTACTTTTATAATTGTACTAGATTAAACCCAATGCAATGCATGGTTCTTAAATAATTATAATGACAATAAATTTTATCAAAAAAAAAAAAATGATATGAAATGTTATGAATAGGCTCATATTAAAAAGTATAAAATATAGAGAAGGTATTGGGTGCGGACGTCTGCAGGCAAATTCGGTGCAGGAGGCTTGTCATATATATTTTACTTGTTGGCTGATATGTTTCAATTCATGTGTTGGCTGATATGTTTCATTTGTTGGCTGATATGGTTTTTGTGTTGGCTAATATATTCCTTTTATTTGTTGGCTGATATGTTTTTTTTTTCCCTTTTGTTGGCTGATATCAGACATCATTTGGCTTATATATTTCTTCAGTTGGCTAATATATTTATTTTGTTGGTTGATATGTATATTTTAATTGTTGGCTTATATGTTTCATTTGTTGGCTGATATGTTTATTTTGTTGACTTACTTGTTGCTTTTGTTTGCTAATTTCATCTTTTTGTTGGCTGATATGCTTCATTTGTTAGCTGATATGTTTCTTCGGTTAACTGATAAGTACCTTTTGTTGGCTGATATATTCCTCTTGTTGGCTAATGTATTCCTCTTGTTCGCTGATATGTATCTTTTGTTGGCTGATACGTTTTTATTAATGTCTGATATGTCCCTAATGTTGACTAATATCAGACATCAATTGGCTGATATATTCATTTTAATGACTGATATGCGTCATTTATTGGCTAAAATAATTAACAACATACAATATACTTTCATTTCCTTCTCTATCCTCTTGGCTGATATGCTCTTTAACAACAAAAAAAAATAAAGTACGAAGTATAACTGTATAAGCTATCACAAAAACATATCAGCTAAGGGTGCTAATCGAGCGAGTCGATCACGAGCTGACACTACTAGAAATAGGCCAATTTCTGTCGGAAAAGTCAGAAATTCCGACGGATTTTTATTTCGTTGGAAATCCGTCGGAAACTTTCGACGGAATATAAGTCCGTCGGAATATATGGGCTTTCCGACGGAATATTCCGTCGGAAAAGTAAATTTCCGACGAAATTTAATACCTTTTTCGACGGAATTACGGCTTAAAAAAAAACCCTTAAAAAACCCGGAACCCTACTTTCCCCATCCCCTTTCATTTCTCTTTTCTCTCTCCTCTCTTCCGCCTATCTTCTCTTTCTCTCTCCTCTCCTCTTTCCTATTCTCTTCCTCTCCTCCTTCATTCTCTTCCTCTCGGATCTCCACTCCTCCTTTATTCTCTTCCTCTTTGATCTCCTCTTTTCTTCTCTTTCTCTCTCCTGTCCTCTTCTCTCTCGCCTCTCTTATTCTCTTTCTCTCTCCTCTCCTCTTCTACAGCGCACTATCAACAACAACAATCAACATCAACCGCAACAACAACCATCAACAAAAACCGCATCAACCGCAACAACGACAACAAAGCCAACAACCACCGCCGCCAGCCACCTGTTTCAAGGTTTTTGTTTTTGTAGATCTTGTAATTTAGGTTTGAGTGTAGATCTAGTTAAATTTGTATGTAATTGTAATGTTAGTTTATAAAATGTATTAGACAATTATGTATTTATATATTTCTTTTGATTTTCGTTGTTTAATTTTCGGTTTTTTGAATTTTTTTTTTTGATGAAATTCTGATTAATTTGTAGATCTATTTGTTTTGATTTTTTTGTGTGGTATTTTTTTATTATGTTGTGTTAATTTTCGTATGTTTGGGGTTAATTTTCGGTTTTGTGGGATTGATTTTCCTTATTTTTGGGGTTTGGTGTGGGTGGGGTTGTGGTGGTGTCGGTAGTGTGGGTTTATTGTCGGCGGTGTTAAATTTTGTAAGTTTGGGGGTGGTTTCGGTTTGGTGTGGGTGGGGTTGTGGTGGTGTCGGTGGTGTTGGGGTGGGCTGCTGTTGGGGTGGTTTCAGGTTGTGGCGGTGTCGGTGGTGTTGTGGTTATAGAGGGTATGTGTGGTGGTGGGTGGTTTGTGTTCCAGGTTTTTTGTGGGCAGGGGGTGGGCTGGTGGTGGGGGTGGTGAGTGGGGCTGTTTTTTTTTTTATTAACATTTTCGACGGAAATTTCCGTTGGAAGGAAGCAGATTCCAACGGAATATTTCGTCGGAAAATTGCGACGGACTCTTGATTAAAGTCTAAAACAGCCCGACAGAAATAAATCCGTCGGAAATTCCGTCGGAAAACGGTCTTTCGACGGAAATTCCGTCGGAAAAGGTCGAATTCCCTACAAAGGGTTTTGCGACTGACTGATTCTGACGGAATTCCGTCAGAAGACCGTTTTCCGACGGATTTTCAGGTGTTTCCGACGGATTTTTTCCGTCGGAATCAAGCTTATTTCTTGTAGTGTGATGGGTGCTCGACTCGACTAGAAAACTTTTTACATGTGCTCGCTAAAGTTTTGAGCCAATAAAACCTACTCGACTCGTGCTCGTTAAAGTTTCAAGTCGAGTCAAGTAGCTCACGATCTGCTCGTTAAAGTTTTGGCCCTTCTAAAATTATAGGCTTTTTTTTTTTTTTTTTTTTTTTTTTTTTTTTTGTTGTCACTTGATATAGTTTTCTTTTTTTATTATTTATTAATTATTGAAGATTTACTCTTTCTTTTTTGATAATATTAATTAACTCTTATTAAGTGTCAAATTTGTTTAAACATGGTAACTTTGTTTGTAAATTCTATATTAATAAAATATATTATCGAGTTTCTCACGAGCTTATCGAGTCGAGTTAGGGCTTGCTCAACTCGTGCTTGTTAACATCTCGAGTCAAGTCAAATTCGAATCAAGCCAACTCGAATCGAGTTTTAACCGAGTCGAGTTTGAGTTGTTCGTGAGCTGCTCA